TTTTGCAGGCTGGCCAAGCCCCAGCGGGGACCCTCACCCATTTAGGGTGTGGCCATCCTGGGTGAGGGGCTGATGGCTGTTTGCAGGCTGGCCACGGCCCCTAGCCACCCAAACTCCTAGTGGAGGCTGGCTGGAAGCAGGTATCTGGGATTTATTTATCTTCTATAATAATTGAAACTTTGTTGCCTTGAGTGGAGGCCACAGCCAGCCAGGGCAGGCGGGAAGCTTGGCTTCCTCCATTGCCAGGGCAACCAAGCCTCCTGCTTGCTCCAGCTCCATGGCAGCCGGCAGCCATCTTGGTTGGGTTATTTTGAATATAGTCGCTCTGATTGGCTGGTGGGTGTGGCTTGGGTGTAGCAGAGGTGCAGTCAATTTGCATGTTTCTCTTTTATTAGATGAGATGTTCTTTCAAGTTATCTGAGATAAATAGAGTAATCTATCTAATGTTTCATTTATTTGCTCATTTTTTGATATCTTGCTGAAAGGGATGTGAGGAAACTTTCTACTCGGGGTGTCTAGTATATGTATTTTATAAAGTTTTAAAAGGCAACATAAATGGTAGAGTATACCTTTATCAAAATTTTTAAAGATAAATTTTAAAAAGTTTAAAATTTAAAAATATTATATATATTTTATATATATAAAAATATTTATATATATTTAAATATATAAATATTTATATATAAGTATATATATTTATATAATATACTAATATTATATAAATATAATATTTATATAATATTAATTATATAATATTTATATAATATAATTATATATTATATATAATTATAGAGAGAGAGAGGAATATCTAACTATCTATCTATCATCTATCTATCTGACTACTTAAGGAATTGTCTCATATACTTGTGAAGGCTGACAAGTCTAAAATCTGTAAGGTAAGCTGGCAGGATGGAGATCCAGAGACAAGTTGATGTTGCAATTTGAGTCTGAAGAAAGACTGCTGACAGAATTCCCTCTTCCTCAGGGAAGGTCAGTCCTTTCCTTAAGACCTTTGACTGATTAGATGAGGCCCATCCACACATGGAGAGTAATTTGCCTTACTCGAAGTATGCTGATTTAAATGTGAATCTCATCTAAAAACAACAACTTCACAGCAACATCCAGACATGCTTAAGCCAATATCTGGATACCATGGCCTAGCCAAGTTGACACCAAATTAATGATCACAAAAATATTACCTTTAATGGAGTATACATTTCATTTTAAATATGAAATATGGATATATTATATCCAACCCCCTAAGGTTAGATGTCAGATTTTTCTGACATTTTTATCTTACATTTGTCACACCTTTGGCTAAGTGACTCATTTTTGTCTTCAAGATAAATTCACAGTGTGTGGGAAAAAATGAATATTTCTAAATTTTAAAAGATTTTACTTCTTTTTGCCAAATTGCCCTTGTAGATTCTTTACCCCTTAAACTACAACTGAAGTATTTGGAGTGGGGAAATACCAGGCTTGCCTTGATCTTTCTTTCTTTCTTTCTTTCTTTCTTTCTTTCTTTCTTTCTTTCTTTCTTTCTTTCTTTCTTTCTTTCTTTCTCTCTCTCTCTCTCTCTCTCTCTCTCTCTCTCTTTCTTTCTTTCTCAGCCTGCAGGTCACTGGGAACCGGCATGATGCTGAGTTCCTGGGCCACCTCCTCCATTGAAGAAGTGGCAGAGGCCGGTGGCGAGGCGCTTCGCTGGCTGCAGCTGTACATCTACAAGGACCGTGAAGTCACCAAGCAGCTCGTGCGGCGGGCCGAGCGGATGGGCTACAAGGCCATATTTGTGACAGTGGACACCCCTTATCTGGGCAACCGCTTTGACGACGTGCGAAACAGGTTCAAGCTGCCACCACAACTCAGGTAACCATCGGTCTCTGGTCTCCTAGGCCCCTGAGATATTCTTCTAATTCTCTTTGCTCTTGTCATGAGCCAGTTCCAAAAGTTTTCTCTAGTTTCCAAGTGAGTGGCTTAGGGAATTGGTTCTTCATAGAATGTTGCACCATAAGTATGGTTGAAAGGGATCTTGTCTAGGGCTGATTGGGTCTGGATTCTAGGGATAGTGTCCTTGCCAAATATCCCCATAATTTCCAGCAGATCACACCCATTTAGTGGGTGTCACATGCTTGAGCTATAAAAGAGGGATAGAAATTGCCCATATACTTATAAAAGTCAAATACAGTTATGTATCAAAGTACATTAAGGGCTTGGAGAAATATGAATTGCCATATAGATAGAAGATACTTAATATAGCCCAGGATATAATTTTATTGTAATCCCAATATCCTAGGTCTTGTTTAAATCACAGAACCACCTAGTAACTTTTATTTTTTATTGTATCTGAGCTAGGAAGATTGAAGAAAACTTAAAGAGTAGAGACAAAAGAAGCCACAGGCTTGATCACTCATCAACTACTTCTTTGAGCAATAGCCCTCTTTTTAAATTTATTTATTGATTTGAATGAGAGAGAGAGAGATTGATTGTTGTTCCACCCATTTATGCATTCATTGGTTGACTCTTGTAGATGCCTACAACCTTGGTGTATCAGGACAATGCTCTAACCAACTGAGCCTGCCTGGCCAGGGCTGCAATATCCCTACATAATCATAGGTGAACATTAATTCATATATTCCCAGGTTCATTCATTCATTCACTCACTCATATTAGCATAAACAATGTGTCTAGTAATCTATGGCTGAACAATGATGTTTTCATTAGGTCAGTCAGCTTGTGCAGTAGCAGGGAATTGTCCTTTTTCCTGTAATAATTTAGAATTAGGATAATCTTTAGTAAAGCTGAGACTTCAGTGGAGTTTACTAAGAAAGACCCCAACCTCCCTAAACTACAGATCTCTTTTCCCTTTTATTTTATCCTTCCCCAGTTCCCACAAAAATCTGCTCTAAGATTGATTGTTCATAGCAATGTGTGACTGATAACCTTCAGGGCTAAATGCATTTGAACAGGAATCAACATATTAGTTGTAATGGAAGACATTTTTTAAAAAATATATTTTATTGATTTTTACAGAGAGGAAGGGAGAGGGATAGAGAGCTAGAAACATCGATGAGAGAGAAACATCGATCAGCTGCCTCCTACTGGGGATGTGCCCCCAACCAAGGTACATGCCCTTGACTTGAATCAAACCTGTGACCCTTCAGTCTGCAGGCCGATGCTCCATCCACTGAGCCAACCCAGTCAGGGCTTGGAAGACATTTTGATGATGGGATTTCAAAGCCTCCATGGGAGGGTAGGAAACAACAAGGGATGCCTTCTTTGGATCCTAGACCTCATTTACATGGGCTGTTGCTTACTCTGGCTACATGTAACGTTAACCCTTCTAAAAGCTCCCAAATCTGGAAGATTTAAAATCAATTCAGCATTCCATAGAAGGTCACGAAGACTGTTGGAAGCCAGGAATTCCACATATGTTATAGAATAGGATGTATTGCAACCAGCACATAAGTCCATATACAGTCCTGGGTGTCACACAACTGTCCTATAGCTTTGCTGAGTACGTACCTAACTGGGTATAAACTATTGTGCATCAAATCTTGCTGCTGAGCCCTATGTAAAGTAGCTGTGCGATGTTCTCAACCTCCAGCAGGTTTAGGATATTATTTATGCATGTGGTACCTTCAGTGGCCAATGACAGAAGGAGAAAGTGCTCTCCCATCAGACCTGCCTTCTGTTTCTCAGACCAGGGTTACCCAGACACCCTGTCTTTCTAAGAAAATAAAAGTAAAAGGCCCCTGACATATTCCTACGTTTTGCCAAATTCATCAGAAAGTAGATGGCTTCAAATTTCCCTACAATGAGATCTGTATTCACATTATTTCTCTGTTTTGATTACCTTTGACTTTCTAAAATTAGTATGCCACTCAAGGATTCTAACAGGAAACATTCCTCATTATTTTCCTTTTGCCATTTCAAAAGGAGTTTGCTGCTTTCCCCCTCCTCCTGTTAATATGACTAACAACAATAATAACAACAACAGTAGTGTTATTTCTGCAGCTTTAGAAGCACTTTCTCACTCTGGATGACAAAAGGTGTTCAGAGTGGCAGGTACTTAGACGTGGGAGATGACACAGTTGCTGCTTCTGGCTGCTATGTCTTGCTCCTTCGGTGCCACGCCACTCAGTCAGGAGTAGGATTTGCTTCCCCCCCTTTTCCTTTGCTCCCGGGCTCCCACCCAGATGACCCACCAGACCATGAGACAGAGGCTCTTTTCAGCTGTCCATGTGCACAGGAGTGGCTTGTCACACCTCCCGTCTACAGATGATCAAATAATGAGCAATACGCCCAGATCACTGAGAACGCAGGAAACACCCCAGGGCTGGGTGCCGCACCCCCAGAGCGCCCTCTGGCATTGCTGGTCCTGGTGGACTGCAGGAGGGCCAGCTCCTCTGGTTGGCTTCCCCGCGGCCCACACTCAGCAGTCGAAGGCAGAGCCCACTAATGGGAGGCCCAGGCTTCCGCCTGAGGCCACATGCAACCGAAAAGCTCCTCTGTTCCAGCCTGATATGAAATCAGGTTTCTTTCCGCAGCTGACCTGACTCATAGAAGGTGAAGCCGGGCTTTGCAGAGTGAGGTTTGGCAGGCGAGGGAGGCAGGAAATCCAGAGGAGAATGAGTCTGTAAAGCAGTGGCTCCTTCCAGCCCTTGCTACCTCCTCTGCCGCAGTGGGGGAGGGTTCTGACTCTTGGCATCTGGGACCAGCCAGAGTTCAGGAGTTTGGTAATCTCTGCTTGGTCTATATGCAAAACACATGCATGTGTGTGCATTCTGCATGGCACGGAGGTTCCTGAAAGTGGGGGGGGGGGGGTTAGGAGAATACTCATCTGCTCTTGGAAGAACCCAGGAATGAAGCCAGTTCCCTAGGCTGGTGCCAGAGGCTCTGATGCAGGGCCTTTTCTGTCTCCACACCCCAGGGGACAGTTCATTTTTTCTGGGTAAAGATCTGGCTCTTTAGTGTAACGCCAGGGCAGATGAAAGAGAAGAAAAGGAGCTTCCAATCATTGACTATGATCAAGGTAAATCATGACACCTACCCTTTACTCACTGAGCCACATTAGCAACCCTACTCTTCCTTCAACACACCAGGCATGCTAGTGCCTTAGGGCCTCAGAATTGATTCTTCCCTCTGCCTGTAATAGCCTTCCCCCAAATCAACGCACCGCTCACTTCTTCACTTTTCCTATGTTTTTATATCAGGGATGGGTCTACGTGTCTTTATATTGGGAAAGCAAAATGAAAATAAACAGTAGAGATCAGAATAGAGACACAGTATGTGTGGGGATCTTGGAGAGTATTTGGGGAGAAATATTTGTAAGGTGGACTAGGTATATGGCTCAATAGCCTCTGAATTCTTTGGTTAGAAAAACATTCACAATATAACTGTGTTACACGGAATGAGGACCTCCCATGTGTGTCCATGTCCTAATCCTTGGAACCTGTGAAGATGTTATGTACATGGCAAAATTGACTCTGAGATGGGAAGATTATTCTGGGTTATCTCACAGACTTAATGCAGTGAAGGGGTCTTCATGAGGGGGAGGCAGGAGTGTCTGAGTCAGAGAAGGCGAGGTGATGATGGAAGCAGAGGTTGGAGTGATGTCATCTGGAGTCAGGGAACATAGGTGATCTCTAGAAACTGGGACAGGCAAGGAAAGGGATTCTCTCCCAGAGCCGCTGGAAGGAGAACGGCCTTATCCACACCTTGAGTGTAGTCTAGTGGGAGTCATTCTGGACGTCTGGCCTCCACACCTGTAATATAATAAGTTTGTGTCATTTTAAAACCTCTAGGTTTGTGATCTTTTGCTATAGCAGCAACAAGTAGCATACCCAATAACACCGATCTGCTCATTTCTTCTACAAGGTAGCTTCTCAATGAGGCTAAATTTGATTACCATATTTTATTTTCAAGTCAACCCTCTACCCGCTCACTTACCTCTTATTCTGCAGTACTTTTTAAAATGTATTTATTCATTTATTTAAATCTTCAGCAGAGATTTTTTTAAAATTGAGTTTTAGGAGGGGGAGAAATAGAGAGAGAGAGAGAGAAAGAGAGAGAGAGAGAGAGAGAGAGAGAGAGAGAGAGAGAGAGAGAGACATTGATCAGTTGCACACCCTGACAGGAGATCGAACCCATAACCTTTTGGTGTACGAGACAATGCTCCAACTCTCCAACTGAGCCACTCTGCTAGGGCCTTTTCATTTATTTTTTTATAGCACTTATAACTAACTTGCTCCATAAATTACTTATTGATTATATTTATTTTTTATTTTCTGTCTCTTCTTGCTAGAATATCAACTGTTTTATTTATTGGTCTACACTGTTTTATTTATTGGTCTACCCTAAACATAGGTGCTCAATAAGTAATGCCGAGTCAATAAATAGAACTGTATTTGATCATGTGAGATTTACCCAATAAAACATGACTAGTAAGAAGTTGAGCAAAGGTTTGCACTCAAACTTAAAACCCATTCCTTCAAACTTTCTTTTAACTGCCCAGCCACATTGAGGAAGAGATTAGCAGGGCTATATTCTCAATATAAGTGTTTCCCTAACCACAAAATTAAAGGCTAGGGGTCCATGTACCAATTCCTGTATGTATTATGAATCTCTGTCTCTCTCATATTGAGTTGATATCATAGGCTCTACTGATTGTTATTTTTTATTTTATTTCCCACTATGGAGACATGTAGCTTTATCTTTAATGGCATATTATCAATAACTATAATAAAATAATATCACATATTTCCCTACAATATTTATTGCTGGTGTTACCATTGGTGATTTAATAATGTTTAACTTTCTTTTAGTAGTTGTTACTGTTTTTATGATGCTAACTTACTAAAAGCTAAAATAATTTCTATATTAGATTAAAAAGTATATTTGAGGAACATTCAAGGCACAATGAGTTCCTTACAAAGAAGAAATTCTATCCCTTGCCTTTGGCTCATTAAATAGATTGGGATTCGAGAATTAAGTCATAAGTAATCATGTTATTATTTGGATGTTGCCCCCTTCCTTCCTTACGAAATGGAATACTTTGGTTATCAGAAGCCGCTTTAAGTGTTTCTTGTGTATATGTCATAATTCAAATAAAAATAGCATTCACGGAGGTTTTCTTCAGAGCCATTGGTAAAACACTCCATCGCGGGTCCCTGTCAAGATATCTGAAAACTTTTTCTTGGCTTCTGGCTTTGAACAACGTTTGAGAGTAACAACAAGGCTTCATTGTGCACTGAAATTTCTGTAAGGCAACATTCATTCAAGTGTTGATCTGCATTGCACCGTCCAAGAATAACAACAGTTATTTATATAATTTTATCCATGTTTCTGTTTTTTCCTATCCATTTCACCCTTTCACCCCGCCTCTGCTGAAACACTGTAGCCTGTTTGGGAGGGGCGTGGGTGCTGTGCAGAGTATATACACATACAGATGTTTTTCTTTTTTTCCCCCTCTGGTCTTGCTATGCGAGTGACAGACCAGACCTTTCACTTATTACCAATGTTACTTAAAAGTTTGGGATTTAATATCACTTAGTATCATTTCTAAGTAATGGAATAGCTCTCCATAATACGGATATATTTCTTGACCAGAAGGTTAGCTTAATTCAAGTTAGAATGACAATGGAAGACCAAAGTCTGTGATAAAATGTACGACCTTTAGTGGTTTGATTACAAAAGAGATGTTCGAGTATTACCAAGTTTAGTGGTTTGATTACAAAAGAGATGTTCAAGTATTAAAATCCATACCAAGTCTCAACAAATAGATGGATACCAGTCTGACTCTCATGGAGCTAGAATTTTCAATGATGTATAAGGGCCTCCTAAGTCCATGAAACTATAGAGCTTACTGTTTAATACTTATCATGAAAACTTTGCCAATGGCTTGAGTAGAGTTATGTGGGATGTGAATGTTCATATTCTTTGATAGTATATGCCACCCAGGCTACTCAACCAGTTATTTTAGCTGAAAGTACACTAAAATGTAAAAAGCACTAAGCTTAGTTTTATATTAAAGGAAATCTTATGATCCTCTTAAAAATAATTTTAAAATAGTGTGCCTATGTAATTCTAGGTTTATATAAAATTGTTATAGTTATGGCCCCAAGATCCTTTCTATATTCAATGGCAGAGCTAGCGCAAGGGAAGAAAGAGTTATGACTAAGTCAGAGGTCAATGTACAGCTATATTTTTACCCAAAGAAAAGTTTGGCTAGCAGGGTTGTGTGCTCCATCTCCAGTGGGGGGCTTGCAGGAAGCAGCCATCAATGATTCTCTCTCTCTCCCTTTCCCTTCCTCTCTGAAATCAATAAAACTATATTTAAAAAAGGAAAATATGATTGCAACCAACCTATAGATGAGCGATTTTCAACCAGTGGGCAATTTTTAAAACATGCAATACCTGACTATTTAGTCAGAGGCACTGACCTTTTTTCCCTTAGATTATCAAATTAAAAAAAATGACAACAGCCAACACAACAATAGCTGTTCAGTGTGAATGAATCAAAATTACACCAATTTTCTTTTGTCAGACCAATAAAAATATATTTTTTGGTGTGCCACAGAATGTCAGTAATTAGCTTATGTGTGCCACGAAATGGAAAAGGTTGAAAATCACTGCTCTGGATGGTTGAGGAGTGAGCAAGCAATGGGTGTGAAAAGGGTAACTTTTCTTTTTCTTTTGAGTGAGTCATTGTAAAGATATCTTTGAGGAGTTTCTCATTTTATATCTCTCTTTATTTCAGGATGAAAAATTTTGAAAGCAATGATTTAGCATTTTCTCCAAAGGAAAACTTTGGCGACACCAGTGGCCTTGCTGCATACGTGGCAAAAGCTATAGACCCATCCATCAGCTGGGAGGACATTAAATGGCTGAGGGGGCTGACATCGCTGCCAATTGTTGCCAAAGGAATTTTGAGAGGTTTGTTTATTTCTCTACTTGACGTCACACTGATTTTATGATCCTTTGTGCATATGATCATGACATTTTTAAGGGAAAATAATCAGGAAAAATTAACATGGGCAACAAAAGAGATATTCCATCTCTCAATTCACCCTTTTGATGTTAGTGAGTAACTAATGTCCAAATTCTTAGGTAATGCACTGAAAGGGAGCAGGACTCCCATGAAGCAAGAAGTCACCCATTTTAAAGCATTAGGATACTGTTGCCTTTTTTCTTTTTTTGGAGCTGTCATCAAGTCATGGAGCTTGACAAGCTCTAGATAGAAGGTCTTGCTTTGGCTGTAAGCTGCAACAGTTGCTCTTAGGCCAATGAGAAGCCCCAAGGAGGACATTTAATATATATATATATATATATATATATATATATATATAGAGAGAGAGATAGGAACACCAATGATCAATGATGAGAGAGAATCACTGACAGCTGCCTCCTGCACTCCCCCTACTGGACATGTGCCCTGACTGGGAATTGAACCATGACCTCCTGGTTCATAGGTCCATGCTCAACCACTGAGTACACTGGCTGGGCCCCAAGGATTATATTCTGATAACCAGACCTGTTTTAAGAGCCTCTTAATATTTTTCTCTTGTTCCTTCCAAGTAACAATGACGAGAACTGATTTCAGAGTGTGGTGAATCCCATGTCACCTCCCTATAAAGAATGATTGACTAAGCCCGGCTGGTGTGGCTCAGCGGTTGAGTGTTGACCCAGAAACGAAGAGGTCACCAGTTCGATTCCTGGTCAGGGCACATGCCCTGGTTGTGGGCTCGATCCCCAGTAAGGGGCGTGCAGGAGACAGCCGATCAATGACTCTCTCTCATCATTGATGTTTCTATCTCTCTCTCCCTCTCCCTTCCTCTCTGAAATAAAAAATATATATATTTAAAAAAAACCAAGAATGATTGACTAAGATATTAAAATCCTTAATTATCAAGCCTTGAGTATTAAGGAAGTTGACTACTTCCCCTGTATCCACATGTATTCAATCCCACAGGGAGATACAGTGACTGTAATAATTTGGAGTGTAAATGTGTTCACCCGCAAAAATGTTTTCTTGCCTTTGAAAATATTTCTTTCAGTATGGCTAAATAGATAACTGACAAAAACATATTATTTTAAAAGGAAATGTTTAAGGAAGTGGCTCTGGGATGAGAGATTCTATTAACTAACCTCAGGCTTAACAATGATTTAGAATCAAAACCTTTTTACAGGTTTTATTTGAATAAGTGTGAGTCACATGGCCCCTATTTATAAAGCTCCAGGCACACCACTGACTTTATCTTTTTAATCTTAGGTATGCAGAAATGAAGTTAATAAAAGTAAAAGAATGGGCCTAATGAAACTTTCAAGTCGAGGAAATATGTTTAAATCCAGATCTGTCTTAATCTGTGCTTTAAAAAATATTGTTATACTCTTTCCTGTTGATCATTGTTCTAGTTCAGTTTCTGAGAATTAAACTTCAGTGAGTTCCTGGTGTTACTGACACTTTTAAACAAGCTTCACTTACTTACTCCCATTCATATTGTCATCCACGATTATTAATGCTACTTCCTGTAACTACATTCAAGTCTAGGTCCTAAGAACATTACCCTGAAGGTTCTGCCTCATTCATTCATTCATCCATTCACTTATTTATTCACTTAGTCATTCATTACATAAATATTTATTATGCTAAAATTAAAAAAAATATAATAATCATCTGAGGTCCTTGACCCTATTCTTGTAGGAGAGACAGAATTTGGGTGCAATAAGAAGTGCAGAGGTAGAAATCTATGCACTATAAGGTTGAGTTTAAAATACAGTGTAAACAATTATAAGAGTGGGCTAAGGAAGGTTTCATTTCAGAATGAAAGGTGATGCTTGAGTTTTGCTATGATATCAGGTCAAATGACTCTTAGACTAAAATAATTGCAAAAGAAAGAAGCTATGAGTACTAATTTTAAAACATGTAAGCCGTATTGGAGAATATAGACTTTACGATGTTTGAGAACTGCTAAGGGTGTTGATCAGGGAAGCAATCTCATCAGATTAGCATTTTAGAAAAATCACATTTTGTGTAATGGATCTAGTGGATGGATGTGGCAAAATTGGGAATCACAGAGCACATTTGAGAAACTGTTGTTGCTCACGCAGGAGATAACTGTGGCTGACCTGAAATAAGTAAGAGGGTATAACTGAATTAGAAAATTGGTGTAGTTTCCAGCATTTAATTTACTCTCATCACAGAGGTGGCCTAGGGAAACTGGCTTGAAAACACCAAGAAAGAATAAAATTTAGTATAGTCCCACATTTTTCCATGTAAAATAGGGAACAAATATAAGAATGAGATGAATGAGGCTATTTAATTTTTTAACTTTTCAACTTAAGGTCCCAAATATATATCATTTTCTACAACTTTGCCCTCTAGGAGATGATGGAAATCTATTGACTTAGACTTTCTATCATGTGTTATGTTAAAAAATATTTTGGCTTCTAGAACTTCATTCTGCAGTCATCTTACCTAGAACTACCACCACCATTGATTCTCATCCACATGGATCATGTGATTTGCTTCCACACATTTTCATAATGTCTTGCACATAGTAGATAGCTCAAATGTTGATTTAATAAAATCTTCAATGAAAACTATATAGATACAGAGGCAGAGAAGCATTGAACAGACTGTCAAATTACAGTGGGAAGGCTGGTGGGGAGTGTTGAGGGGGGGAGGCAAGAGATCAACTGAAGGACTTGTATGCATGCTTATAAGCATAACCAATAGACACAAGACACTGGGGGGGGGGGTGTGGGCGGGGATGAGGGCATGTGCCGGGGGGTAGGGGAGGCCGGGGGAAGGTCAATGGGGGGAAAAAAAAAGAGAGACATATGTACTACTATCTCTAATACTTTAAACAATAAAATTAAATTAAAAACAAACAAAAAACTATATGAGTAATCTATGAAAACTCTATGAGCCTATTGCTTTAGAGAGAGCTCAAAAGCAAGAGAGAGTTGGGACATTTGGCATTTGAAAGGAAATAACTTATTCATGCATGTATGGTTTACATTGTCTAGTTTCTCTGTAGCTACTTATTTCATTTAATTAACAAACAAGAATCATTTCCATGACAACACTGCATATGCTCAGTTTGGCGTGGGGGAAGGGACCCAGGGGCAGCAGTGCAGGTTCTGGGAACTCTAGTGTTCATCCTTCCACAGATTTTCATCCAGAAGTCCCAGGGATTGACCTTTTACCAGAAAGACACAGGTTATGTTTGCAGGCACATGAAATCACAGGCAACTGGAAAGATATCAATAAAACATTCCCCTTGCCACCATTTTAAGAATGGCATTTTTAACGAAAGCAACTTGGAGAAGAAGATGTAATCTCTTGCTGTGGTTAAACTCTGCCCTTGGAAAACTTCAACACAAACTCCAAGCATGTATTTGAGACAGGACTTGGTCTTCGCCAGAACGCATGCTAATGAGCAAAGGCCTTTATGAGCAAAAACATAATGCGTTTTAGAGGGTTTGTTTTTTTAATTAAAAATCTTTTTAAAACTAGGTTGTCTCACTTCCAAAATGGCTTTTTGTTTTGCAGAAACTGTGCTCTAACCAGCTTTTTTTCTATGTGCAGTTTTTAAAGACAGCCTCCAAGGACATTCACTCACATGCTCCTGATTGTGTTTCAGACGCTGCCTTGTGTCTAGAATTTACTTACTAAGCTCCTGTAAGGTAGCGCAGAGGCCTGCGCCCAAAGCTCCAAGGGCTTGAGGGTAAATCTTGAGTATTTGCATTTCACTTTGGTATTTTAGATTCCATATAGAAAGAATGCACTAATAAGATAGCGAACACTGCTATTCCCTATTGACCACTGTTCGCACCCAATTAAGGTAGTGACTGACAAATGAACAAATATGGAATGCCATAGTAGTAAGCTCTAAGGATTAATGGAAATATCAAAGCCTCAGGAACATTTTCCTGAATCAGAACATTTTGAACGTCTCATTAAGGCAACATTGTTTTCTCTCTAGGTTAACATAAAATGTAAAACTGTGGACAGTGTTTAAGTTGCTAACAAAAGAGGCTCGTGTCCACTGAAATCTTCCTTCCTTTCTCTCTCTCCCTCCCTCCCTCCCTCCCTCCCTCTCTTCTTCTTTCCTTTCTCTCTCTCTCTCTCTCTCTCTCTCTCTCTCTCTCTCTCTCTCTCTTCTTTCTTTCCTAGATATTCATGATCCTATCTTCCCAGCAAGCCATTTCCTACATTCCCAGCACTGCCTAGAAAAACATGGGGAGTTACTTGAAATGATAGAAGATAACAAACTGTTACTTAAATAGCACTTTCTTTAAATGAAAGGCTGTTTGTAATCTTAATCCTTACTAAAATGAAGATTTTGTTGCTATAAATAAAACTCAGGCTTGCCAAAGCATCCAGCAAATAAATCTTCCTTTACCTATTTGTCATTTAAATTTATGCTTCCCATACCAGAGGATGAAGATAATAATAGTTAATATTTACCTGATGTTACTCTAAATAATCATTCAATTAACTTAATCCACAAACCAATCTTATGTGGATTATTATCCCCGTTTTATGGGTCAGAACACTGATATGCAGAGAAGTGAAATAACTTGCCACTTACATAACAAGCAGATATGGGATTTAAATCCATGTGGTCTGACAACTAAGCCTAAGCAGTTAATCACTTTTTTATACTGTAGATGATCTGTTTATTGATAATATTAATTTTTCCAAAACACAGGTTGCAACTATATGGTGGCAGACATCCGAGTATAAATTGGAGGACTGCATACATCCTCAATGATGGGGTTCATAAAATATTATAGTTCGTATATTTTTACTTTTTGTTTTTACTTTTGATTTGCTGCTTGAGACTCATACACAAAACCAGATAACCAGAGCAAACCACAACAATTCTAAGTATATTTTATATTGTTTGTTAAGGTGATTTATGTAT